GGCCGCGTGGTCGCGGTCGCCTCGCGTCCCCTCCCCCCCACACACAGTTGCCCGACGTGTAGTAGGTAAGGCGAGTTCACGTTGACTTACCAGCTTTAAGAAAAACAAAACAAAAACAACAAAAAAAAGCGCTATGCTATTGTGAAACAGAATCCTCCTCCTCCTCTTCCTCCTCCTCCTCTTTTTTTTTTTTTTTTCCTACTCCAGTAAGTGTCGTAGTTGAGAGAGAGAGGGGAGTGGGCGCAGTTTTGGAAATCGATCCCAAAGAGCCTGAGGAAAGGAAAGGCCGCGACGACGCGACGGTGGCAGGGGCAAAACAATGGAACTTCACTTTTTCTAACGGGATTTTTTATTTTTTTGCTCTTTTTATAGTATCAGGGAAGCAAACTGCCTTTTACAAGTTTAGGAGATGCTATTTGAATCTAGTCGAACCAGGGAATGCAGAGTGAGCAATATGTAGCTTGAATTACCTTTAAGAGCAGATTTCAAACACACACACACACACACACACACACACACACACACACACCACAAAAACGGTGAACGCACTGATTGTCATTTTTAGCGGTCACGAGGGCCTCTAGAACTTCTTCAGGTAAGAAGATAACGTTCTTACCGTCTCAAAACCTGGGCATCGAACAATCAACCTAGGAGCGTGGCAGTGGGTGAAATGGTGGACAGGCACCAAAGCTATTTTCTCATCTATCCTGTGGATGAGCGGGACTGTGGGGCAAGTGATGTGGAATTAATGGGTGCAGCAGCTGTACAGACAATCAATAACACACACAGTTCTGGAAAGAACACATCACTTGTGCTTGTTTGATGAGCTTGTCACATTCTAATCCCTCTCCCCATCCTGTTTCAATTTTGGGAAACTTGTATCTGCTGGTGTCAGCAGTTCTGATTCTGAAATAGGATCAGGCTTTTACTACAACAGCCTTCTCTTTCTATTTATTGTGTTGACTCGTGGCTTACGATTAAAGGCAGGCAAAGTTTGCAGACTCCAAACCCTTAAGAACTGTCTTAAGGACACGTATTTCCTACCCCCTCCCCCTTTTTAAATAATTTTACACTTTTTAGTATCTATTTCAGAGTCATATTTAAAACTATTTATTAGTGAACACAGTACACGAAACAACAAGGTTACTGAGATTATAGTTCTTCAAAGGTTACCGATAATGTGGTTTATACTGTGCCTTAATAGTAACGCTATTTAAGATATTTATTTTTAAGTTTTACTATGCTGCACTCTAAAGAAAGGAACTTTAGATGTGACACTGTAAAATTATGTATTCATCTCATGGCATAAATTATTTAGTAGGTCTAGATGTAGCATATTAAATATTAACCTATTCAGCTAAAGATGTTGACTTGGATTTATTTAAATTCGTATGTGCACTGTATAAGAGAGTACTCTGACATTAACACATTTTAATTTATTTTAGTTTTTAGGTTTTATTTTAAAGCAGATATATTGCTAGTTTCATGCTTCCTTCTCTTAATTTTTGCTCGTGTAGATCTCATTTATTGGTACTTCATTAGTTTAACACTATTCTTCTGTAGTTTATGTAGTTTTTAAATGCTGCTTTACTTTTTTCTTCCAAAACTGCAATACTTGCAATTTTTATTCTTAAACTAAATTGAATACTATTTTACACTGTATTGGATTTTTATACTTGAACAATTTCATACAAGGGAAGACAGGTTAGCATTTTTATGGACTTTCTCCATTATCACTGGATTTACTTTAAGTATTCCCATACTAGACAGTGTTATGTAATGTAGACATGACTCTCCTGTGCAAATTATTTATTCATTGTGTATATTGCTTTATAACATTTCAGATCTTCTAATCTATTCACTTGTATTAAATATAATTTTTAAAAACTTCTGTTGCATCGATCGTTTCTAATTTTGTCATAAAGGTTAGAACAGCTTCTCCTTCCAACTAGCATCCATGGCCATGGTTTACATGTAACATTTTCAGTGAGCAGAAAGCTTCCCAGATGCCCTGTGTTCGTACCTTTTAAGTACATTTTATTAACCCAGGTCTTCCTTGCATTGAGCAAACGGTATAGGTCCTCCCCCAACAGTGAATCCTAAAGGACTGTTCGTGTCGCTGAACATTGCTTACGTAAAGGTCACTTGAAAGAGTGGGCTGCACAGGGGGACAGTCCATCCGAAGCTGGAGTTGGGTAAACTGAGGCTTGGTGTTAGACTCTACCACTTTCTAGTAATACGAATGGAGCGGGTTGTGTTCTGTAATCGACTTTTTGGGTGAGGTTTTCATTGATTTCTCATCCATAATGGGACAGTAATACCTGAATCACATGCTTATTTAGATATTAACTAAAATAAAGTGTATCAGCTGCTTGGTCCAAGGCCAAATCTATAGTACGCTCTTGATAAATGGTCACCGGTAGTAGTTGTGATACGCTATAGTAAAAGCTAACCAAAAAGGAAGTCACCTGTTGGAATGTTCTCATTTTTAAATTTCTGTGTACAATGATGTGGCAGCATGTAATAATGTTGATGGCAAAATTCATTTGACTGCCATATTGATTGTCTTAAAGGGTGTATGGTACTTTAATTATGGAATAGATTGTTGTTGGTCAGTTGGTCTCGGTACTTACCAAATCTGTGATGTAATATCTTTTCTTGAATTCCATTACTTTGCAAAAATTACGAGCCGTAGAAAGTTGTGATAACAGATTCTATTGTGCTTTCCACTTTATGATAACCAATATCCTAGTTAGGGCCAACACAGTCTCAAATTTTAATTGCTTTTAATTTTCCGAAGAAAAATAGAGACCAACTTATTCCCAGGCTGGGATATTATTGCACCTCAAGGTATTATCTTGGATCAGTAAAATAATTTCTAAGCTACTTAATTCAGTCAGTGCATCAAGGATTATTTTACTCAAAAGACATGTTCTACATTCAATTTTTCAGATTTATGAAAGGTCACTTTTGTCCTCAATAAGCCATATGTTGGTGGTTGTATTTTAGAATGAAACATTATTTGACCTATCGGTGAAGAATACGTCAGACAGTTCTGGAAAAAGCTTGTCTAAAATAGCCGTACTCGAGAAAACCAAAAGCCCACCTATGCTTGGTTGTACCTTCCTTGGGGGTGTTTCTGATGTATACTAATATCAATATTAGCACTTGGAGACAGGGTAAGGTTTTTACTTTGTAATACCACAGCATATATTTCTCTTTTTTTAATTTTTTTTTTTTTTTTTTTTTTTTTTTTGAGAGAGCAGGAAAGAGAGCAGGGGAGGAGCAGAGAGAGGGAGAGAGAGAATCCCAAGCAGGATCCGCGCTGTGCAGGACAGAGCCTGACACGGGGCTTGATCCCACAAACCATGAGGTCATGACCTGAGCCAAAATCAGGAGTCGGACGCTTAACGGACTGAGCCACCCAGGCACCCCACAGCATGTATTTCTAAAAATAAATACAAGTTGTCAGTGTCTAATAAGGAGGAGAGAGTAGCCATGACCTAATGTGTACCGTGGTCAGGCAGGTTGGTTGTATTGGTAGAGGCACAGAAACCAGTGGGTCTGAGAAACAAAGAACCAACTGAGTCCTGATTTCCTTACTTACTAGCGGGGTGAGCTTGAAGCACTTTACCCTCGGGTGAGCTTGAAGCACTTTACCCTCGTAAGATGTGAATTGATAGTACCCAACACGGTGGCTCTGTTCAGTGAATTAAGTGAATTCATTATATGAGAGCATTCTGAAAATTCTCTAGTAGTAGGCAAATGGAAATTATACTGAGGGAGTATATGCAATATGAATCTGGAAATTGATCTCCAAGGTCTTGTATTGAATGACCCTTCCAAAGGAGGACAAAACTGTATCTCAAGATGTTATGTTTATTCAGTCCCAACCAAGTAACAGCTAAAACTGCTGTGCCACAGGAGCGGCACAAAAATAACGCTGAGAGATAGAAAGATTGCCCAGATAGGGGAAGGAAGGGGAGAAGAGTCTCGAATACGTTTCTCTCACAGGGGAACTATATTTAGCTCCTTCCTCAGTCCTGCCAAATATTGTTCTTCTTAATTCCCTCTGAGGCTTGAAAGCGTTCATTAAGATGACAACGCCTGAGGTTTGGAGGGGCAGAGGTGAAGAGGAACCAAAAAATAAGTAAATGCATTTTCATGCTTACTTTTGTCCTCTCTTCTCCTTCAAGAGTTCCGGGCCGTTTCCATGGAAATTCTAACTTGTTTTGCTTCAGCACTTCGTACAGAAGAGGTTTCATTTGGGGTATTTGTCCTGAGTTGAATTTCAGAAGTTCAATAATGATGTTAGCCAAGTCCTTTAAATTCCAGGCTCTGAAACCCTAATCGTAAATCGCAATGAGGAAGAAATCAGACAAAGCATGTGTAAGCACTTTAGGAATTTTAGATAAGGGAAGTGATATATATACATTCACAGCTTTGATAACATAAATTAGTTAAGTCTTATGGCGCAGAATTTGGTCATCCTTGACCCTTGACCAGCTTCTTCAGAGAAAGAGTCTATAAAGTCCCCTTTTTTCCGGTCACTTGTCTCCTGGAAGATGGATGCCATAGATCTTTAGATCCAGGATGCTAC